CTTACAATATAAAATGATGTGATGTTGTTACTTCAGAGTAGTTTCAATCTAGTTTTTTAAATTCATTTTTTTTCCCAGAGAAATTCTAACTTGTGTGTATTTTTAAGTTTATAACTAACATTTTATGGTTCAGTTTTTTATATTAGAAAGTATTTTTATTCATTTTGATGTATGCGGAAATTATTTGTTCTTAACTGCTAACAGGTAAATTTCACTAAGAATGCATGATAAACTCTAAATATAGTCTTATTTGAATTATCTGTATATCGACAAAGTAATATGCTTAGTTTTCTATTAAGAATTTATCTACTCAATTATTGGATATATATATTGTTGCTTGTGTATAATTTTTGTACTGATAATCCCCTTTTCTGAAATTTTTTATTTAAAAAAGTTATTTAATTGCTAAGATTTATTTGGTTTTATTAGTTTAGAGAAGGTCTACAAGGTAATTTTCATATCTCCTTTATTCAGAGAAGTCAACTGCTATATATTCTCTTGTGTGGATGTTTTACCATCAGTTTTTAATAGGATAACAACAATAAACAGCCAAAAAAATTGGTACTAAATTTCAAGTGACATTTTACAGTCTGTATTATTTTAAAATCTAGGAAATAAGCTTAAGTGATATTTAAAACTTTTTAAATGCTCAATTAAAATACTTATCAATGGTCAACTGAATCTTGTCATGAAAAGGACTCATAATCTTCACACTGAATTTTTTACTGATTTTTAAATTTGGAATTCAGTAAGATCAAGGAAGTAAAAACAAAGGCTTGGCACACCGTTTTTTCTTTCACAAATTTACTTAAAATTCCTACTGATTTATCCCTTCTAATGTTGGTAGCACTTGATTAGAAATAATCAAAGTCAGACTAAAGCTTTGATGGAAGTACTAGGTTCTTAAATCCCTGTGTGCCTTTCTTATAAAGCTTGTAAAACTTTTAAAATGAGTTCATTTTTATTCTACAGTATAGTAAGCCATACTTCGTAATCCTCTACACTACCAGGTCGACCCAAGGCCCCAGACAACACCTGTAATTTTGAGTGTCCTCAGTTCACCCACTCTGAAGTACAAATTTGGAGGTTCCCACTAACCCCAAAATACACCAGCAAAAAGCTGTAGCATGTCTAGGACAGCTGCATTTGTGGCCTGATGGCTCATTCACTACAATAACTCAAAGAACTCAGCAAAGCACTAGATTTAGGATTATAATTTTGTTATAAAATCGAGGAGATTCATAGACCATCTATCTCCTCTGCAGGTCTCTGGTGAAGATCTTCCTTGTGCCCTGAAAATTCATCACCTTCCCTTGTATCAGTATTTCTTAGCCACCCCAGAAGTCAGGAAACACAAACTTGCACAGTAAAAACCATACATGCTAAAGCTTTGGTGAACTTCCTGTGCTTCATGACTTACTTTTTTTAAGAGTAGTGGTCAGTTATTTTATATAATATCCCTCACTTTGACTTACTCCTGATATTTTTTCCTTCTTAATCCCTCACATTAGAGGGTTTATGATGTTTATGTTATGTGACAAGTACTGGTGTTGGAAACCTTGATCACTTGGTTCAGGTGATGCTTGTCCAGTTTTCTGTACAATTTGGTTTATTTCTCTGTATGCAGTTATCTTTGGGGAAATTCTGTGAAGCTATGGAACTATCCTATTTCTGCTTAAATTTTTGCCCATTAATTTTAGCACCCATCTGTAGATCTTGAGTATAGCCATTATTATTGCAATGTTTTGCTTAATGGTGATTTTCTACTTTTTTCATCTACATTAACTAGAATTCTGTAAGAAAAGTGGTGTCTTCTCCTGTGCTCATTTATTAACTCTGGCATTGTATCAATGTAGACTCATGGATATTTATTTTAATCCATGGTTTATAATCCAGTACTTGTTTGTATTATTACTCACAAGTTATAATCTAGTTGTTGTTGTTATGTGCCATCGAGTCACTTGTGACTCATAGTGACCCTATGTACAAGAGCCCTAAACGTCATTCTATCCTGTGCCAACCTCGCCGTCTCAAACACACTCATTGCCATCACTCCAGTCACAGAATCGATCCATCTCATCAAGGGTCTTCCTCTCCTGCTCCGCCCCTCCTCTCTCCCAAACATGACGTCCCTTTCGAAGAACTAGTCCCTCCTTGCAACATGCCCAAAGTATGTCAGATGAAGCTTCAGAATCCTTTGCCTCCAAGGAGCAGCCTAGTTTCACCCTCTCCAGGATGAACCTGTTTGTTCTCCTAGCAGTCCATGGTATATTCAACACTCTTCTCCAGCACCACAGCTCAAAGGCATCAATTCTCTATCATCCCTATTCACTGTCCAACTCTAGTGTTGATCAAATTATTTTATTGTGCTTTTTGAACCAAAAATATTTAAACAAGAATAAGTGTATCTGGACCGAGGAAGCAGTCTGAAAAATAAGAACCCTTGAAAGATAAAAGTAAAAATTATTTAGAAGCTAAATATTTATCAATAAAAGAGAATGAAATACTGGTACATGTCATATGAATGAACATTGAAAATTATGCTAAGTGAAATCAGCCAGACATAAAAGATGACATGTTATATGATTCTATTTAGATAAAATATTCAAAATAGGCAAATCTACAGACAGTACAGTAATGTAGTTGGTTAAAGCTATGAGTCTGACTCTTCAGCACATACCAGCAACAATGACAACAGAACAACTGAGGGGTAGACATTAGAGGGAAGTGGGAAGTAACAGCTAATGGTACAGGAGTTCCTTTTTGTGGCCATGAAATGTGCTAAAATTGTGATAACAAACACACTGAATACTAATTATATACTTTAAGTGGCTGAATTGTATGGTTTGTAAAGTATATCTTAATAAAGTTGTTTTAAGAAGAAGTAAAGGATAATTTTTAAAAATTTATAGAAACCACTTGAAATTTCTAAAGTAGATAGTGGGTCATTATTAGTACTTTGAATATTGACTGCCCTCACCGAAGTATCAGCATATTTACAACGAACTGGGTGATATTGTGAGGCTATTATATTTTTAATTACATAGTAGAAATTGTTGTTGTTGTTATATGCTATCAAGTTGTTTCCTACTCATAGCGACCCTGTGTACAACAGCCCTAAACTCTGCTCTGTCCTGTGCCAATCGCACTGTCTCTGACACTCCCATCCCGATTATCCCAGTTACTGAATTAGTCCACCTAATAGAGGGCCTTCCCCTCCTGCACTGTCCCTCCACCCTACCAAGTATGATGTCCTTCTCCAAGGACTGGTCTCTCCTCACAACGTGTCCAAAGTATGTTAGACAGAGGCTCAGAATCCTTGCCTCCAAGGAGCCACCGAGTTTAACCCTTTCCAGGATGAATCTGTTTGTTTTCCCAGCAGTCCATTGTACTCTCAGTACTCTTTTCTAGCACCACAGCTCAAAGGCATCAGTTCTCCTTCTATCCTCCTTGGTCATTGTCCAACTCTCTGATGCATAACAAGTGATTGCGAAGACTATGGCCTGTATCAAACGCACCTTAGTTCCAGAGAGACACCATTGCCCTTCAGTTCTTTGGAGAGGTCCCTAACAGCAGACTTTCCCATGGCAATGCACCTTTTAATTTCTTGGGTGACTGGTACAGGAGGAGGGTGCCCCTCCTCCAGCAGAGCATCTGATTGATTCGTACTACGTACCTCTGGGATTGCAGTGCAGCTTCTTGCCACTAAGCCACCAGAGCTCCCTAGTAGAAACTACTTAAAGAAAATGAAACATCTGGAAAGAAAAAAAAATAATAAAACAGGATAGATGATACTGTGAGCATTTTGAAAACTGGTCTGAGAAAAGAGGTCATTAATTCAAGGGAAAGAAGATAGTGGTTCCACAAAAGGAGAATGATATTTAGAAACACCAGGGGGGAAAGTAAAAAAAAAAAAAAAAGTCATCATGAAATAAAATTTTATGTCTTTATAAACTAGTTCCAAGTTTGGCCAGATGATGAGGTTATTTTGTTTCCAAATAGTGTTAGCCAAGGAGTCATGGTGTTGTAGTGTGTAATGTATCTGACTGCCAGTCAGAATGTCAGTGGTTTAAACCAGTTGCTCTTTAGGGGAAGGATGGGAAGTCGGCTCCCATAGAGATTTATGGCTTCTGAAGTCCAGTGAGGACTCAACAACAGCATGGTGTGTTGGGTAGTTGGATTTTGTTTTTTTTTTTTGTTTAACTGTGATACTATTATAAAGCAGAATATATTTCACATACTCAAAAGTTGTTATAACCAAGCTTTGATTATTTAGCAGTTTTAAAATCGTAATTAATATGTATCTGATAGTTTTTACTATGTTCAGTTATATATTATGCATTTCAAACCAATGATGTTCAAAGTATACTCAGAGGTGAGAGACTAGAACCTGTCCTTCATACTTCTTTTCCAGTCTAGAAATTAAAACAATCAGCTTTGTCTTTTTTGGGGGAAAAAAATAATTCCTTAGATGAAAGTCAGCAGTTTTCAACATGGTTCTGTGTCAGATTTCTACGATCCCCTGCATCCTGAAAACATACCTGCAAAAGGTGATTGCTGCTGCTTGTTGTTGAATGCCTTGGAGCCCATTGTAGTTCACAGTGATGCTGTGCACAGCAGATTCAGAACCTTGCCCTGTCCTGCCGTCTGCACAGTCGGCACCATGTACAGGCCCTTTGTAGTCGCTTGGTCAGTTCACCTGCTTGTTGGACATTTGTATTTCGTTACTGCATTAAAAGGTAACTCTAGTGATACATGTTTTTTTCTTTTATGCTGTGTAAAAAAGAGTAAGATAATGTTAATAATGGTGTAATGGTTTATAATAATATTTCCTTCCCATACAATAAGCATCAGTTGTTTTGTATTTTTTTAATTTGAGAATTTTTTGTTAATCAAGGTGCTTCACAATAATAGCTTGATGAATTTTTTTGCAGCCATGTGTCTTCCTATACGAGGCATTAAGTACTATTCATACATGCATTTTCTCCAAACTTATCTAGGGGTCAGGCCAACCCTCTGGACCCATTGTGTCGCTGAATTCAATGAATGTGGATGCTGTTTGTGAGAAACTCAGACACATAGAGGGACTGGACCAGAGTATGCTGCCTCAGTATTGTGCAACCATCAAAAAGGTGATACACATATATTTACTTTGCCAACTAAAGACAAAGGCATACAAGACAGGGCTGTGAAAATGGATAGTTTTATATTAGGCTGTAAGGTGAATTCTCCTTTGGCAGGGGAAAACTCTAAATAGAAATTTGATTCTTAGTGTTTTATATCCTAAAATTGGATTCTTGATTCCTTATTTGATGAGTAGTAAGAAGAAAATAATGCAACAAATTTAAAAAAATTGTACTACAGAAATAGTTATAGTACCAGAGTCACGTTTTAAAAAATAATATGCATTTGGGGGAGCTCTGGTGGCCTAGTAGCAAGGAGCTGCAACTACAATCCCAGAGGCGCATGGTTCGAATCCACCAGATGCTCTGCCGGGGAAGGAGGGACAATCTCCTCCTGTACCAGTCAGATCTGATTTGACGGTACACGCACACAAAAAATAATAATAAAAAAAAAAAGTAATATGCATTTGAAAATACCATTATGAGAAGTACAGAATTTCACATTTAGATTAATAACTCATCTTTCCCATGTGGAACCTAGGACATTTCATGATATCTTCTATATTACTTTTTCTGTAAGTGAATACTATTTCTTTTTATAACATCATACTTATCAAAGTAAACCACACTTGCTTAATTTTCCCCAAATTCTCCTTTGACTATTTTATAGTACTTCTGATGATGTAACATTTGTTAAAATCTCACAAATTTGATTTTGTATGACTCATTTTCTTCTTTCCTTGATCTTATTCTTGTCATTCTAGAAGCTCCCACAAATGTGGACAGTAGTCCCAGGCTTGCTGGGCAACTTCACTGGTGTCAGGAAAGGGTGTTCTCTCCAGTAGAATCCCTTGTGGTGGTTTTGCTCCCATCAAACCGTGCCTTTCTTCCTCAGAGTTCAGTGCTTCTCATCCCTGGTTTTTTAAGTTCATCTTCTTTCCACTTTTACTTTACCTCCATCACATTTTCTTTTTCATGATTTTCAGGTACTCTGATTTTTTACCACAGTTCATAAACTCAGGTCATGTATTTCATAAAGCAAATAGACTACCTTTTATTACTGAAATAAACACTATTTCTCATTTGGAGAAAGCTAGAATTACAGTAGTGATAAGATGATTTTGATGACATGGATGAGAGCATTCTTTCTGACTAAAGTTAGATAACTGGGAGACAAGTTTGGCAGAGCGTGCTTCATTTAGACCCTCTCCAGTGTCTGCCGTATTTATGAAGACAAAAGTGTTTCTCCCTTTCTATTATCATGTGTTTACATTCATATTTTATAAGATCAGAAGAGAAAAATTAACTGTTGAAGTTACTTAGTAATTTTGGAAATAATTGGGATGATTTGCTCTTGGACTGGCCTCTGAAGAGTGTTTTTTTCCCCCTTGAATATCTAAAGTACTTAGGAAAATATGGCAATGGCTTGTTGTTTTTGTTGCTGCTGTTGTTAGACGCTACAAAGCCTTGATGTTGTTGTTGTTGTTAGGTGCCATCAAGTGTGACTCAGTGACCCTGTGAAGAACAGATCTGAACGCTGTCCTGTCCTATGCTATCTTTACAATTTTTTTACTTCAGGATGTGTGAAGATGTCAAGATTTAGGTTGTTAGTGCAACAGTGAACGAATGAAACCCCAAAATCTCTGTAAATGTTCATTAAAACTAATAAAATTTAATAATAATAATTTTTTAAAAAGCCCCCCCCAAAAAATTTAGATTGTTTAAATTCAGCTTGATTATTTTATTACATGAGACTATAACCTTTATTTTCGGGCCAATCTCTTCTAGTTACTGGTGGCTTTCTGAAATTAAGTATGAATGCTTTTTAATCACTACTAACTCAGAATATTTAACATTTCATTTGTCTTTATAATTTTTATTTTCACTCAGGCAAACATAAACGGCCGTGTGTTAGCTCAGTGTAACATTGACGAACTGAAGAAAGAGATGAATATGAATTTTGGAGACTGGCACCTTTTCAGAAGCACAGTAAGACATACTATACTTATACAATTATTTAGAACATTGCATAAAACCAGTGCCAATATAATTAGTCCTTGTCTAAACTGATACTTGTCTCAAAAAAAAGAAAAAGAAAAGAAAGGTTTTTTCCCCATTTTGTACTAATAGAGGGCCCTGGAGACTATACATTGCAACCCTTGGCATCTTTTGCCTTTTGGACATTTTACTCAGAAATTTAGGTGTGAGACTACCCATCAATTTTCTAGGCTTTCACTCCGGTTGTGTTTTCTTTTGATTGCAAATTAAGTTTTTAAACTAAACTAATAATGGTCAAATGACTTGAGTGATATCTGTAATTAGTGTATTATGATTATTACCATTGCTTAATTAATATTAATTAAAATTCCAGTTAGGAAAGTATGGTATCAACTTAGTAGAAATTCACTTTAAAAAATATTCTTTCTCATTTCCAGTATAATAACTTCATTATGCTTTCTTTCAGAATCTATTTCCAAAGCTTCTAAAATGTGATCTGTCATTGGGGATATTGATACACTTTTCTTTTATTAGATCCAAGAAATGAGAAATGCTGAAAACCAGGTTGTCCCCGAAGACCCACGTTTACTTAATGAAAACAACAGTGGCCCCGTTCCCCATGGCGAAGCTGCTCGGCGCTCTTCACACAACGAATTGCCTCACACTGAACTTTCCAGTCAAACCCCCTACACATTAAACTTCAGCTTTGAAGAACTGAATACACTTGGCCTAGATGAAGGTGCCCCACGTCACAGCAATTTAAGTTGGCAGGTATTTATTAATCTTATTTATTTCCTGTTGCTGATGACTAAGGGAAATATTTACTTCACTGATAAGTTGTTGGTGCATTTATGTAGTTTTCCAGAAAATATTAATGAGTACCAAAATGAATGAGATGGAGGACTCCCTGTTCTAATGAAGCTGTATTATTCTTCACTAACAAAATCATCAGCAAGATAAAAGAAATAAGAGTATTTCAGGGGGAAAGATATGAACTGTGAAGTCAATGTAATAGGGTAATGGCCATACAGTTATAGTTAGGAAAGCTGGGTTTTTCTCTTGCTCTTGCCTTACTAAATACAGTCCATTAATCATTGAGTAAAATAGCTCCACAGTACAAAATTCACCATGAAAAGTTGAGTACCTTAGTTGGATTTTTCAATACATACATACATACATTCTGCATGGCTGTTGGTGGTGCTTTTCTGATCTTATATTCAGTACAGGTAAACTCTTTTCTCTGAATATTCATTAGAAGAGGGAAGACAGATGAGCAGAAAGGGCGGGGGGAGGGGGGAGTAAGAGAAGCGTGAGGAGTGAGGGGAAATAAGAAGAAAATTAGCCCAAAACAGAGCAAAGTACAAAAAGAATACAAGCGAGAAGAAGAAGCAGTTAGGAACTCCTTACTACAGAAGGGACAATATTTAGCAAATATTATCCCTATTAATTCTACCATTTTCCAAGGAATTTTTATTATTATTGTTTAGTTGGTAATTTGGTTTTTTGAGGAGGGAGAGGGCGTCATCTCTTCTTACTATATACCTAATATCTTTAAATTTATAATTTTCTTTTTTTCCCCTTTTCTTTTAAAACATGCTATGTCCACACTCTTGTTTCAAAAGCTGCCATTTCATTTTATCCCGCTTACATTTCTTTTTTTAATTTCTTAAAAAGTCCTCATCTAGCTTTTATTTTCTCAGTGTTTGCTACCATAGCCAGAAAGCCAGACCTGAATTTCAATTAATGCAGCCGTTTTTTTTTTAAATCTCAGATTGCCTTTATACTATTAAACATTATTAAGGACCTCACAGGGCTTTGTTTATATAAATCAAAGCTCTTTTACTGCATTAGAGAAAGAAAAGGAAATGAAATTTATTTATTTATTCATTTGTTTAAAAATAAACCAGTTAAATGAACATAATAACATTTCTGCAAAAAAGATTCCCTTTTTAAAACAAATGACTTTGTTTCAATATTTATTTAAAAATTTCTTTAATGCCTAATTCAATTATAGACAACTAGATTTCCATACCTGTTTCGACATTCTGTTTATTGTGATAGCACACATTATATAGTCTCTTAAATTATACTGTACACTTCTATGAAAAGGCAGATAACATCTTAGTATTCTTATATAGCTTTGGATATAGCTTGACCTTGACATCCTGGATCCCATGACAGTGGGTCTCAGATATCCTAATGGGATGCAAGTTGTCATTTTATCACAATCAGATTGTTGAAGACCTTCTGAAGGAAGACCATTTTCCACCTGTGTAAAACTGCCTTGCTTCCGTTTCTTCATTTATCTTTTGCTTTTATCCTTTCTTAAGAGTCTTTAGTGCTTTTTTCTTTGATTTCCTACTTATTTCTTATTCTGTCATTTTTAACCCAAAATTTTTAGTGGCTTTTCTAGGATCTCAAGCAGTTCTCTTGACAACGGGTCACTGTGAGGTGTAGTCGACTTAATAGCACCTAACAACAAAGAATTTTAATCCTAAAACTTCACATTCAGAATCAATCTTTTAAAATTATTTAGTACCTTTTTACTTTTGGCCGCATGGCTTCCATAATATTTATTTGGAATATTAATTTTTCTTCTTTATTATACTCTTAAATTATTTTTATATATTTTCTTTGAATATATGCATTGTCTTTTCCTTGAATTGCAACATGACAGAAGCTTTCTGTTAAAAAATTTGAAAAAATGCTCTTTAAAGCATACATTGATTTTGAGATCTATCTTAAAGAGATCTCATCGTCTTCCAAGATGACATTTTTATACTTTAAAAATGGAGGTACTTTTTTACCTTAAATAAATAAAAGTTAAAAACTTAAAATTGTAAGATGACAAGTGCTAAGATAATTTGTTAATATAATATTTAATTATACCTTTAAATATTGGTCATAATTTTTTAAAGTCCCATAAAACTTTGTAGTAACAAGCTATTTTTAAAGGTCATCGCTTTTATTAGACTGTGCTATCTAGAATTCTTTTATAAAGTACTTAGTATTTCAAACATGTTTTTATTTAGTATACATATATGTTTTCTTAGCTAATGCTCGTTATGTCTGTTTTTTATTTTTGCTTATTTGAATTCTTAATTTTTTTTTTCTGTCTTCACAGTCACAAACCCGCAGAACCCCAAGTCTTTCAAGTCTCAATTCCCAGGATTCCAGTATTGAAATTTCAAAGCTTACTGATAAGGTGCAGGCTGAGTATAGAGATGCCTATAGAGAATATATTGCTCAGATGTCCCAGTTAGAAGGGGGTACAGGTTCTACAACCATTAGTGGCAGGTCTTCTCCACACAGTACATATTATATGGGTCAAAGCTCATCGGGGGGCTCCATTCATTCTAATCTGGAACAAGAAAAAGGGAAAGATAGTGAACCAAAGCAAGATGATGGAAGGAAAGCGTTTTTAATGAAGAGAGGAGATGTTATAGATTATTCCTCATCAGGTGTTTCCACTAACGATGCTTCACCCCTGGACCCTATCACTGAAGAAGATGAAAAGTCTGACCAGTCAGGCAGTAAACTGCTTCCCAGCAAGAAATCTTCAGAAAGGTCCAGCCTCTTCCAGACGGACTTGAAGCTTAAGGGAGGCGGACTGCGCTATCAGAAACTGCCAAGTGACGAAGATGAATCTGGGACAGAAGAATCTGATAATACCCCACTGCTCAAAGATGACAAAGAGAAAAAAGCTGAAGGAAAAGCAGAAAGAGTATCAAAATCTCCAGAACACAGTGCTGAGCCTATTAGAACCTTCATCAAAGCAAAAGAATATTTATCAGATGCACTCCTTGACAAAAAGGATTCCTCTGATTCGGGAGTGAGGTCCAGTGAAAGTTCACCCAATCACTCTCTTCACAATGAAGCTGCTGATGATTCCCAGCTTGAAAAAGCAAATCTCATCGAGCTTGAAGATGATCACCACAGTGGAAAACGTGGAATTCCACACAGCTTGAGTGGTCTGCAAGATCCAATCATAGCTCGGATGTCCATTTGTTCAGAAGACAAGAAAAGCCCTTCTGAATGTAGCTTGATAGCCAGCAGCCCTGAGGAAAACTGGCCAACCTGCCAAAAAGCCTTCAATCTCAACCGAACCCCTAGTACCATGACTCTGAACAATAACAGTGCTCCAGCTAATAGACCCAACCAAAATTTTGATGAAATGGAAGGAATTAGGGATACGTCCCAAGTCATTTTGAGGTCTAGTTCTACTTCCAATCCAACCACCATTCAGAATGAAAATCTAAAAAGCATGACACATAAACGAAGCCAACGCTCAAGTTACACTAGGCTCTCCAAAGATTCTGCAGAGCTTCATGCAGTAGCCTCTTCTGATAGTACAGGTTTTGGAGAGGAAAGAGAAAGCATTCTGTAAGAGATGCACACAAGAGTAGGATGGTAGTATGTAGAATTATCCCGTTTTGTAGTGGTTCTGTCTATGCACATCCTCTTTGTGCATTTCATACATAAATACTTAACAAGTGCTAAGGCCTTTAATAAAAGAGTGAGTCATGAATATCAGAAAGAAGTGTAAGCAATGATTTGTTAAATTTGTGGGTTTTTTTAGTTAGATACTAAAATTCACTACTGTTGTTATACTTTTTGTTGGCACTAGCCTCATAAAAATTTTTTTAGATGCGATCTAATAAAAATATAGATCAAAAATAGTCTATTAAATTTACAAGACTTTTTTACCAAAAGAAATGAAAAAGATTCTTTTTGTAGAACATTCACTTGTCAGATATTTGAGGGGCCATATGTGAAAGACATGAAGCTAGAGCAAATTTTGCTCATAAGGATATTAATCTACTTGGGATAGAATTTATGAGTTATAAAGAATCCCAGAGATACAGAAATATCCCAGAGATTAAATACAGGCAAGTAACTTGTAAATTGAAAACCAGTGAGACAAACTGCTTATTAAAGAGGTTTTAAATTTTAAATAAAAACTACATAGTAAAGAGGGCTTTAAAAATTAGTAAAGTGAAAAAGATGAGAAAGTGAGTCAGTGTGGTTCTGCAATAATTCTGGGCCGTTATGAACTACCATGCTTGTGACCTGGAAATAACTTCCCTACCGCATGGGTGTGTTTTCAGAATCTCAGCCCTGGCATGTCTGAGACTGTGCCCAGGAGCCTACTTTTTCAGTCATGTCCCCAGCTTTTCTTAGACTAGCAAAGAGAATAAATAACAATTCTTCTTTAAGAAATTCTTCTCTTGAGAGGCAGGATAATAATAGACACTTAATAAATATGTCGTTTGGAAAGGAGTATCATGCTTGGCAATGTAAGGAGTCATTCAAAGAGAGGAAGATCCTCAACAAGATGGATTGACATTGTGACTCCAGCAGTGGGCTCAGGTGCGTCAGAGATGAAGAGGACGGCACAGGATAGGACAGGTTCAGAACTGTGGTTCACAGGGTCACTATGAGTTGTGCTTGGCTGTGGCACCTAACAACAACAATAAATATTTATGGCATGAAAAAAAGAATTATATCAGAAAGGTCTCTATCAATCTAAGGGAATAATTAGGTAAAACCAAATCTTTGCTTTCTATGCCAGTAACGACTTAAATTTCTTCCTAACTCAATATATTAATTTTGGAAAAGAATCCTAAGCTTTTTTTTTTTTTAAAGAATTAAATGTCACAAAGCAAGCATAAAAAAGATGTAATAGATGTGACTTTAGAACCTCACTTTTTTTTTATTTGCTAGCAGATTTAAGGGAATGATTAAGTATTGTGTGGACTAGAAGTGTACCCTTTTATCATGCAGTAAAAAGATTTTGTCCTTTTAATGTTATGTCTTCAGAATTAATTGGGCAAAGTATTCTAAGTCACAGAACAAAAAGATTTTAGATAGTGAGATTGTAGATGTAAGGTTATCTGAATTTAGGATTTCATCTGGCTGTTCTTGTTAATGGGAGTTTTATTGATATATTGAATAAATAATTCACTTGACCGGGCATTGTACCAAATAGGTGCTCTCTTGTGTTTCATGGCCTTGAGTGTAACCTGACAATTTTGCATGACCTTTAATAAATGTTTTCACCAGTTTTTTTAAAGAAAGACAGGTTATTATTGACATCATATATTGAAGTGTTCCTATTTTGCATTTATAGTGTTTATTAGTTTATAATATTATATAACTGGTAATTATTTCAGAAATAATAGTTTGTTCCTTGTCTGGTGAGTAAATGCAGTTTAATATCATTGTAGTACACTCTTTATTCTGTATGTGAAATCAATTCTAGAGTAAAGTGTACAAATAGATTTAGAATACAATAAAAAAATAGCATGCTACTCTGACTCACGAATTTTTTTATTCATATACTCAAATGATTCAAAGTTTTATTAGAAAATAGTTTGTGTGTTGGGGGTTTTTTTGACTGTTGTAATGAATTTTTGTTATTTTTCTTCTATCTCCAAAGTTTCTTAAAGACTTTGAAGTTTATGCGGCAGTTACCCATTTGGTAGGGCCCTAACTATGACCTGCTACCCTAGTGTCTTTAAAAGAACTTAGCTCTTCATTCCCAATGCCTGAATGGTGCTTTTAATGATGGTGAATTAATGCCCAGCAGCACATTGTTTTTCTGTAGCTATAGAAGAATGTTGTTCAGAGCCTATAAAGATATTAATTATTAGATGTATATTCTGGAAAAAAGATAAACCGTATGGGTTATTGGCTCACTCCATCAGCCCTTTAAGTCTGTGTATATGTGTATTTATCTTACATGTATCTATAATATATAATTGTGCCTGGTTTTTACATATGTAAAACTTTCACTTAAGCAAGTGGATAGAAAAGAAAATTGCAACTCTGATTTACTTTAATAAGTCATTGTTATTTCCAAGTTGCTGTAACTTTCACAGTACTGGGCATTTAAGAATGAATTCTCATATCTTGGAAAATTTAAGCCTTCATAACTAAACCAACATTTTCAATATTAGCCAAAAAATTGTCTATATGTAATATTTTACATGAGCTTTGTATAGTGCTCAGAATAATTGTAATTGCTTAAAGTTTTCATCTGGAGAACTCTATAGATTATTTGCATGTTAATATATCAGGAAAATATACTTGTAATCATGATTTGGTTTGAGTTTTCCTTAAAAATACTAACAGAATTTTTTTTTTAACTGACAGTAAATCTTTATGGCTAAAACACTAAATTTAAAAACTCTTTTTAAGGCCACATAATTTTTCACTATACCAGGAATTCTCAGCCTACTTAGATGTAGTCCAAAGCTTTAAAATTCATGAATTCCAGGCTAGGCCCAGAGTAAATCAACACAACTACTAGGAAAAGAGAGACTGATAAGACACTGTGCCCTTAACTATGGTTAAGTGGTATTGAGAGACAACAGGTACAATGAAATGTCTTTGGAAAGCAGTTAATCAGAGATGAAATGTCTAGGCCATCTTACTTCCCACTTTCCCTCCTAGACTTCCTTTGATACTTGGCAAAGGGGAAGAAGCAGGTGGTGGTGGTTGTTAGGTGCCGTCATAGAGGAGAAGGGATAGATAGACCTGGGCAAATGATCTGAAATAATGAGGTTTTTAATTCCAGATTGTTGGTCTCCTACCTTGCCCACTTCAGGATATTAGGTGTAGGTCATGACACTGTACAAGAATTGAAAATAGGAAATCTTTATCAGTGAGCCAACATCACTTAGTCTTTTAATGACTCCTCATTTGGGAAAGGTTGAGAATCCCTGGTTGCGACTAAGTAAGAAGAAAGGAATCCTTAAATCTTACATGATTTTAAACCCTTTCATGTCTAGGAAGAAAATGCTGTCCTTGAGATAGATAGTTCTTCAGAGGATCCATTTTAAACTAAGGTATGTGAAAAAATAGTTCTGAGAGTCAAAATAGTCTTAAAACGGTTGATGAAAACAGTTCTTACCAGGTAAAGAATTTATATCCTCATCACTTTAAAAGTAAGAAATGAAAAGTGATTGTTAGAACTTAACCATTGTCACGAGCCAAAGCTTTTTAAGTTTTTGTGTTTTGTTGTTTTGTTTTTTTTAAACAAAACAAACTCCCTAGAAAACATACAGTCATGGTTAATACCGTCAGTAGAATCTGTTGTGCTACATTTCTGTGCTGTGAGTGGAATGTTTCACAGAAAAAACTTCCTGGAACTTTGTGTGGTAAAACTTTGTGAATAGGACCTAGGCTGCCATGGCAGAACTACTCTCCTGAAGTAGCTATTAAGGCACTGTGAGACACCGTGGAAGAGTAAGAATTTCTAAGAATAAACAGGCATTACCATGTAGGAAGACTCTTTAAGGGTCAGTATCAAGTGTTCTAAGGCTTAACACAGTGAAAACCAACCTAAATTATCAAAAAATAACTTGCATAATTATGTGAAAGTAAGGCAGAGTTAGAATTTTAAAACTACAAAGAATATGCCTAAGTCTTTAATAGTTTTAGATTAAATAAGGCTTTTGCAATATGGTTTATTATGGTGATAGGTCTTAGGAGCACTTTTCTAGCCTTGCCATGTTTTAACAAAATGTAAATAATCTACCCTACTGAATTATTAGCACGTGGATAAATGAATTGACTTTTAAAACAATATAGAGCTGTGTTCCATATAATTCAAAATAAGAGCGTTGTGTGTGTGGGTTTTTTGTTGGTTTTTTTTTGTCCACTACCATTTTCTAATTTTAACATCTATTTTATACTTATTTACCTCATTTTCTTTCAAGGCAACCAGGCCTCTAAATCTTAGTACCCTGCCCATAGACCCAAGCAGCGTTGCTCTCTCCCTTCTACTGACAGTTCGGTTAACCTCACCAACTATAAGGGGGCAAAGAAGATCCTTCCTGGCCAGTAGTCCTGCCATCCAGCTGATTGGAAAAGAGAGATGTGTTCATCTATACCAGTTTGTTACATTCTCGTAGTTTTAAAAATTGCCCTTCATGAAGTGTTTTATGACATTTTAGATAAAAGCCCAGCTGTATAGCAAAAAGCATGTAAATGAGCTCTTACAACTTGCTGTTTCCTATTCTAGAGCATCTTCTTGCTCAGGTGTCTAATGAAAAGCTGAATTGTTTGTTTCAAAGTTATAGTTTCTGATATTTCACTTTTTAAATCTCTGTTCCTGAGAATTTGTAAACTGCATGTTAAATTTAAAGCAAATTAAAGTATTTTTTTTTATTTTTTAAAGGCATTTTCTTTTTGCATTCTTTGTATTGTTACCCTCTGTCCATCTTTTTACCTGCTTGTGTTCTTTTCACTTTTTTTGTCTTACGTTTTCTTCACATTGTCAGTGTGTTCATCATATTTTACCATAAAACATATGGCAGTAGAATGAAGAAGAATCTCAAGACAGTTTTTATACCAAATCTCAGGTTTCAGGCAGCGAGTGAG